ATGTACCAGAATGTTCCCAGGCACAAAGAGACCTTCTCCATCTCTAGTGGATACCCAGGTGTACCTGCCTAACACACACACATTTGTACACTCCACTAAACCCTTGTACCCTCAGAAACCCTTGGTAGGGGGAGCAAGCACTCAGCTACATAAATACCCCACAGAGCCAGGCCTGTGTCTCCTGAGTCTCAATAATGCACAATCCATACCCAGAGATAAAAGTCCAGACAATAGATGGCTGTTTATGACAAGGAGGCTCTCCGAGTTTGGGGCCAGCGATAAATCTCTGGTGAATCTTCCTGTAACTCAACTTCTGGCTATAGTGAGGAGCGAACCACGGAGACAGTAGAGAGGAAAGCAGAAAAATGGGAGACTTTTAAATCATGAGCAGAAGGTGACTTCCCCACTGTGGCCAGAAAGTGCAGGCAACCACACTGGCCCCATGTGGCATGTCCACACTATGGAAGCTCTCAAATCAAGCTTTAGAAAATAGGCAAGTCAGGCCTCCTGGCTCCCAGAAGTGGGGTGAAATGTGCAGGCAGATGGGAGGGCCTGGAGGCTGAGACAGACCCACAGTCCATCTTGCTGCAAGCTAAGGGTCTTTCTGGTTGGTGACTGGAATCTTCTTACTATGTGTCACCTGAATTTTTTCTCCCCCCTCTCCTTTTCCTTTTTGGATTGATGGGCTGTTCCCTTTTGCATTTTCTACCCAGGCATCTGATTACAAGTAAAGAGCCACTGAAGTTGATCTCATAAAAATGCCTAGAGCTCACTTTGATCTGCAAGGACTGGGTCTGAGCCTAAGTAGGCACTAAAGTCCGGGAATGGTGTCTGGGCCAACCCGGCCTCTGGCCTCTGCTCTACTGGGAGCCCAGAGATCCAGGTTGCCCAGCAGGGCAATCCTGCCCAGAAAAATAGCATTTTCTGTGCTGCTGCAACTAGGCTTGGAAAACCAAGGTCTAAAGGTAGCGGCTCCTTTTCCAGACTGCTTTAAGGCATTTCCTTCATTTTAGAGCATTTGGTGAGGAGGCCAGTGAAACTGGCTCATAAAATGGGACTTTTATGGGGAGAAGTGGGTTCTCATTGCTAGTCTGCTGGGCCAATCCTCCGCTGAGAAAGGTGGACGGGGCTTGGGGTGGCGGGCAGAGGAGCTGCCCTTCTCCCTCCCCCTACTCAGTCCAGGGACCAGAGGAACCTCGGAGCAGCATCCATCTACTTAGATGAGCCTGACTTGGGACTTTGGGCTTCAGATGATGGCAAGGGACAAGGAGAGGTGAGGGTGGAGAGCTGGCAGTCCCGTTCCCTTCTAGCTCCCCAGCTGGGGGTAGGAGGTATCCCCAGTGCAGAATAAATGACCGGCCTGAAAACCCCAAGCACACTAAAGGGGATTATTAAACAGAGCAATGTGCACAAAAAGATGCGTGTCACTTTCTAATGAGGGTGCATCCTTGCCGGCCCAGCTTCTGAATCATTGAGGGAGTCCATGTGCTTATTGTTTATCTTTGTATTGATTCCACCCGGGACTTAATTTACTGTTTAATCCCACTAGAGCTCTAACAGCCTTTATTCACCTCCCTCGTTTTCCTCCCACTTCACAGTTTGTAGGGTGGGACCCCTTTCCCTTCCACAATCCACTCTAGAGTCCAGAGCAGCAGGAGGAGGTGGTCAAGATGCAAGGCAACCAAGGCTGTATGGAGGAGGATGCTGTGCTGGGGTCTCCGAGGCTGGAATTTGGGAGATACTGCCCCCTTCTGAAGCTGCTTCTGATGTCCCTGTGTGGAAGAGAAGCATGCTGGAGTCTGTCCGTAGCCCTAGCCGGAGTACCGCAGCAGCTGCCCAGACAGCCCGCAGCTGCCTGCTAGCGGCCAGGCAGGCAAGCAGTGCTTACTGAGGCCACTGAGAGCCAAGCCGAGGTGTGGGGCAGGCAGGATGACCCTGCGGAAGAGAAGGATTTCATGCAAAAGCTGGAACTCCAGGACGGTGGAAGGGCCATGGGCACCCATGAGATGAAGAGAGGAAAGCCACCTTCACTCTAGGGAGTGGGGCTTGCCGGGCCCTTGGGAACAGATTTGGGGCCACAGGTGGATCTCCTATTGGGTAGACACTGATGCCCTGGGGTGCAGCCTGGGGCAAGCAGCTCAGGAGTCGTCTGGACCTAGGGCAGGCAAGGAGGTTGGCAGCCCACACCATGGCCATTTTTTACCAGTCAATGTTTTGCTGACCTCAATGGCCAGGGCCTTCTCTCCTTGACCTCAGCAGCAACCTCTAGTTGCTGGGATTTTATTCTGAACTGTTGAAAAATTAAGTCAGACCAAAACTAGAGAAAAATGGAACTTGATGCCTTACTTTAGGAGGAAGAATATTAATTCTCGGAGGCCTCTGTTGGGAGACCTTAGAGTTTCCTGGACATCAACTCCTTGGATGTTCTTTTTTCTTTCTTTTTTGTTTCAAGGAAATAGAGCCGCTAGCAGCAACTTGCAGCTGCCTGGCTCACTTTTATGGTGGCCCTGGAATAAACTTTGGTGGTCAAATTCAAGTGCTCAGGTCCACAGCTGTCTCCTCACAGGAAGCGCACCCCCTCCCCACTATTGGCCCTGGTGGTGCAGAATTCCCTTTGGCGGCTTGGGCTCCACATTGCCCTGGAGGCCAGGATTGGGAAGAAAGCAGGATACTGGGGGGAAGTGGGTAAAGCCAAAATTGAGACTCTGAGCCCTCATCCACATTTCTGCAAGGAATAGTGGTACCTCTCACCAACCTCTTTCTGGTTCCTATCACTGTTTGGGGAGCATTTTGCCTCCTATAAACTCAAGTTTAATGATGTCAATATGAACCCCATAAAAGCCATAGTTCATAGTTCCCCATAATTACAATTAAAAATGCTGGCCCCTGCTCACCCTATAAAAAGGGGTAGAGAAAGGAGGAAAAACAACAGACTTTTCTTTTCATAACCCCTTACTGATGGAGCAGTCCAACACTTTAGCAAAGCCCCAACTAATTCCTCTTTGCCCTCAGTTAAGAGGTGGTCAGGACTAAAGAAGAGTTTGGGAAACAGTGTTTAGCAATGGATAAATGGGTAGAGAGGTGCCGGAGGCCTACCCCAGGGTATTCCAAAACCATCCCAAGAATGTGACCCACAGTGGAGGTGGCTTCTTCCTAGGTCCTGCTCTAAAGATTGAGCACATCTGGAGAGGTAGGAGGGTTGAGAAGAAATTTTGGGAGGTTGTATTTGGGGACAAGGAACCATTTTTGTGTCTTCCACATCTGATTTTGGGGCCTTAGTACCTCATCAGTTTTAGCAAGGAAAATCTAATTCGAATGATATTTTAAAAGTGGAAACCAATTTTAACCAAGAGTTAAAGTGGAAAGAGGATTTGGGCCATTTCTGGCTTTTCCTGAGAGCGCAATGGGCTGAGTCTTTGGGGGGCTTCAGTTCCTCCCCTTCTACCCCAACAAATCATGCCCTGGCAGCTCTCCTTGGACCCAATGTTGTTCTCTGCTCGTGGCAGTTGCTCCAGCCTCTTGGCCCTAGTCCAGAACCTTTCAATAAAGTGATTTTCAGCTGACCGAATGTGCCCTGTCGTGCCCAGAGGGATGGGAGGCAAGGGAGGGCAGAGCCACCGAATTCACCCCTTGGGGCACACCATCCAGAAGACTGGTAGATTTAGAAGAAGGCAGGGTAGGTCTGAGAAACAGGAAGGCAGCACCAAGGTCTGGCTGCAGCCACTGGGAGCAGGGCTGGGGGCTTCCACTAGGAGTGGCCCCGGCCCTCGCCTGCCGGCCCAGGTTCTTCAGCTCCCTTCCACTGCCCTGCCCTGCCGTTCTGTCTGGAGACCCACATCTGGCCCTACCACCCACCTCACAGCCCCGGATAATCTAAGGATAGAAGCCCCAAACCCAGTCCTGCATTCACAACCTTCCCAATCCCTGACGTTGGTTTTCTTTTCAGCCCCCAAGCTGAGGCTGAGCCCCCAACCCAAAGAGAAGATAGATACATGGCACTCATTCGAACCTTTTACTTTGGGGTTTGAAATTTAAAAATCCACAGTAGATGTAGCTTTCTGTGCATTGATTGGCAATAAAGGCAGGCATGAAATATTCACCCAGGGCCACTCTCTCATACTAAATATTTAACACAACATTAGAGAAGGTTTTTCCCAGACTTCGCCAGGCACCGGCTGGGCGGCTGGCGCACTGCTTTCCACTAGTTTATGACTAATCTGAGTCCCTTAGCCGCCGGCAGCACAGCAAGCCAGACAAAGTTGGGACATTGGCTTGTTACTGGGCTGCCTCACCTTTGAGAAACTTCAGATACTCCTCTGAGGAATCTTTCCAAAGGGGAAAGGTAGTCTTGACACCCAGCCCTGGCGGAGGAGAAAATCGACTTTTTCAAACTCTTCTGAATAGGCGCTGGCCTCTCTGTGGGTTGGCGGGTAAGAGTCCCTAAGAGTTGAGGAGAAGGATTCACATCTCTGGCTGGATCAGGCAGTGGGGAGAAAGGTCTTCATCCCCACCCTAGTCTCCGCAGATCACCGGGAGGAGCCAAGAACCCCCACGCATGAGAACCCTCCTCCTCCCCCCAGTCCTGGGGAAAAAGAGAGCGGCAGCTAGGAAAAAAAATACAATTACCCCCTCCTAGTCTCCGCCACCGCCCATCCCACCGCCGACCCCACCCCAACCCTCTCTCTCCTCCTTTGCTCCCTCTGTGGAATGGAGAGGAGGGAAGTGACGAGAGAAAAACGAATACAAATCTGCAATTGATTTTCATAATGTTTCTGCGGTGTTTGCAAACCAATCGCCTGAACGTCCCCATCTTACCTAAGAGAGAACCCCTCCTACGTCTGCGAAGTGCTCCGAACTGATATATGACAATATCTACTTTGGATCACGTGCTCGGGGAGAGAGACTAAGACGGATAACGCGTCATCTCGCCTTCCCAAATTTTCCCCCCTCGCTAGACCGGGTCCAAAACCTCCATCTGGAGCCGGCAGGAGAAGAGAACGATGTTTAACTCGGTCAACCTGGGCAACTTCTGCTCGCCGTCGCGCAAGGAGAGGGGCGCTGATTTCGGCGAGCGAGGGAGCTGCGCCTCCAACCTCTACCTGCCCAGTTGCACTTACTACGTGCCCGAGTTCTCCACGGTCTCCTCCTTCCTGCCTCAGGCCCCTTCTCGTCAGATCTCCTATCCCTACTCCGCCCAAGTGCCCCCGGTCCGGGAGGTCTCCTACGGCCTGGAGCCATCCGGCAAGTGGCACCACCGGAACAGCTACTCTTCCTGCTATGCAGCTGCCGACGAGCTTATGCACCGAGAGTGCCTGCCTCCTTCCACCGTCACCGAGATCCTCATGAAAAACGAAGGCTCCTACGGCGGCCACCACCATCCCAGCGCCCCACACGCGGCCCCCGCCGGCTTCTACTCCTCAGTCAACAAGAACAGCGTCCTGCCTCAAGCCTTCGACCGCTTCTTCGACAACGCCTACTGCGGTGGCGGCGATGCGCCCACCGAGCCCCCCTGCCCAGGCAAGGGTGAGGCTAAGGGGGAGCCCGAGGCGCCCCCGGCCTCGGGACTAGCGTCCCGGGCTGAGGCGGGGGCCGAGGCCGAGGCCGAGGAGGAAAACACGAATCCCAGCTCGTCCGGTTCAGCCCACTCGGCGGCCAAGGAGCCGGCCAAGGGAGCCGCCCCCAGTAGGTAGCAGCGGCCGGGGAAACAGGCGGGCAGCGAGGGTGGGAGCGAGAGGGAGGGCGAGCGTCGGGGGGAGGCGAGGGGAGCGGGGACGGCCTCGTGTTTTGGGTCAGTCTGATTTTTATGTGGAGTTTTATAAGCATTCAAAGGATTTTATTATAACCTACAAAGCCCTCTCTTCCAACTCGACTTTTTACGATGGAGAAGGGGTGGGGAGGGAGGGAAAAGGGCTCTTTGGAAAAGCCGGGCGAACCCCCCTCCCCGTTATCTCCCTCTGTCTGTGAAATTTTTAAAAGCGCCACCATCGCGGGCGATATTAACTTTGATCGTGAACTTAGAGGAGCATTTAAGGAAGAAGGATGGGGAGCCGGGCGGCCGGGGGTGGGAGGAGGGGAGGGGTGGAGGGGGAGAAAGGGGAGGGCGAGGGAAAGACCGGGAGAAGCTCAGAGAGGGGGAGTGGTGGGGGAGAGAGGCGACGGAGCAGAACTGGAGACCGGAGAGGCCAGCCGGAGCTGCTCCGCTTCTTTTAGAAACTATTTTTGAAATGTTCAAACTCTGTGTTCGCGGGTCCTTGAGCAGGACCCGGAGCCACCCCGGGCCAGCGGCGACGGCGGGTCGGGGAGAGGCGGCTCTAGGCGCCGCTCTGCTCTAGGCCCGGGTCTCGGCGTTTCTCTGCGCTGCGCGGCCTCTGCGCCGGCCTAGCCCGGCGGCGGGGCAGGCGCGGCCCGCCGGGCGTCCCGGGGCGCCAGGGCCCCTGGAAGCGGCTCTCGGGTGTCGCTGGTGCCTGCTCGCTGGCTTCCTCCCCGCCCCCCCCCCCGCTCTCCCCCACTCTCACTGCTGCGCTCCCGTCCTCCGCGGTTCCCCCACCCCACCAGATTTCTGGAGGATGGGGACGGCGGCTTTCCAGAGTTACTAGGCGGGCCGCGGGGAAGGGCCGAGGCCCGCAGCTGAGCAGGCCGGTGCGGGGCGCGGGGGGTGGGGCGCAGGCAGGCGCTTGGGCCGAGCTGCCTTCCTTCTCCCCCTCGACTCACTCAGCCGTGGCTCCCGCCTGAGGGGAGGGGGTCCTGCGGTGGCCCAGGACTGGGTCGAGCTAGGCCTGGCGGGGAGTTCGAGGCTGCGCCCGCGCGGAGACGGCCGGCCGGCCTGGGGGGAGGGCTGCCTAGCAGCGGGGCTGGGAGAAGGGCCCCTGAGCGCTCAGTGGGCTGGGGTCGCCCGGGTCTCACGTGTCTCTCTCCCCCCCTCTCCTCGAACTTGCCCCCTCCCCTCCAGACGCCCCCCGCACCCGCAAGAAGCGCTGCCCTTATTCGAAATTCCAGATTCGGGAACTGGAGCGAGAATTTTTCTTCAACGTGTATATCAACAAAGAGAAGCGGCTGCAGCTGTCCCGGATGCTGAACCTGACGGACCGACAAGTGAAAATTTGGTTTCAGAACAGAAGGATGAAAGAAAAAAAACTAAGCAGAGACCGGCTGCAGTATTTCTCGGGAAATCCTCTGCTGTAACCGCAGACCGGGCCCTTTTGGGGGAGGAGGGAGGGGAAAAATTATTTTATTTTATTTTTATTTTTCATTTTCTAACTCGCCTTCTTTACGCGGGTGGAAAACTGGACTGTGGCCAGGGCTGGCCCCCACTGTCATTGCCCGCACTTCCTTCCGGAACTTCCTTCACCTTCGGTCTGACTTTCGCTGTGGGACAGGCACCGGGCCTGGAAGGGGGGTGAAGTGAATTGCCTGGCCCATGGCGCGTGGACTCCGTTGGCGCCGAGGCCAAGACTTTTAAAAGAAAACACACCTCGCGACAATGTCTTGCTGCTTGGATTGAGTGGGGGAGGGGCGAGAGTCGTGGGCGCCTGAGCCGAACAATCCTTGAACTAAAAGCTTTCCCCTGCCCAAGTGAAAAGATCTGCGAAAACACCGTGTCTTCCAGGGGAGACTTTTTCCGGCTAAACGCCCCTACCCCACCTGCCCCACTGCTAGGGGGCAGCTAAATGTGATCCTGCTTTGCTGTGAAATTTCTGTACCTTCGACCTGGTGTTAGGTGTGCAAAGTCCGTGTCCTACCTCCGTCTGCGCCCAGGCCCCGCCCAAGCCTAGCTGTTCTCCCTGTGAATGTGTAGAGCCCTCCTCCGAAATTTCGTAACTGGTGCATTAAGTTTCCCCAGCCTTTTTGCAAGTCGTGCCCCGCTCCATGGATTTATAGCTATAGTCTATGCAGTTGTTACCTCCTTTTTTTTTTTTTTTTAAGGAAAAAAAAAATGATTCGGGTGAGCAAGGCAGTAGGGAGATGGGATTGGGCGCCTCCCCCACGCTGGGGCCTGAATTTTTGTAAATAAATTTCACAAGCGTTTCTTTCTACCCTGAGGGGATGGGGGAGGACTCAACTGGAATGGGATTCGAATCACCCATCTCTCTCCATGTGCGTGAATGTGTGTACATGTGCAATCCCCATCCTACTCCTGTCCCAGAGGGGTTGCTGTGAAAGTTTTTTTGGTGGCAAATAAAGATATTTCTTTCTGTTCAGTATTATGATTTTTTTGACCCTTTTATTAGCCCCTCTCCTCTTAAAACCCTCAGTGCTCCCAAGGTGGAGGAAGAGGTAGGCAGGGAGAGCCCAGGCATGTGAAGGTGAGGTAGGCCGGAGCTGGTGGGCCTGCACAGCGCACCACCTCTCTTACGGCGGGGCGATAGTGTGGTGGTAGCTTCCTCCCACTCTCAAGCTGCAGATATCCCATGGCTCCTCTTAAAGCTCTCCTTTCTCACGTGCAGCCCAAGCTGCGTCCAAATGCCCAGCAACGCTTTCCGTTTAAGTACACGTTTGTTGTGGAGTTAATTGTAACCATCATCGAATTTAAATTTATAGGAATTTTCTTGGCTCCACCGCCTTCCCGCCAGATGTCTCCGTCTGTCGCAGTTAAATGTGTACGGTTGACGATAGGGCTTTCTTTTTTTTTTTTTCCCCCTCCATGAGAAGACTGTATTGGAATTTTTATATACAATTTTGAAGGAGGGAGGAGAGTGGAGAAACCAGCCCCCTTCCTTTCCTCACCTTGGCTGCCCCAGAGGGTGGGAAGGTGGGGCAGGGCCCCTTCCCCTGAAGCACAAATGGCCAGGCTCCTCCAGACACAATACCTTAGACTGGGGCCACCCTTCTGTTTATACACTGGATGTCCCCGAGGAGAAAGCTCCAGAGATTTGTTTTTCTAAGAGGTTGCCTTGGGGTGGGAGACTTGGGAAGGAGATGACCTGAGGGGACGGTCGCCACACCCATCTGTATTTGCTGCGTGTTCCTTCTACACACTCCTCTCCACACTCTCAGTGGGGGGCACTCGGGCAGTCTCCGATCCACACTCGTTATTTGGCATCTGAGATTTGAGACTAATTCTCTTGTCTTTCCCCCTCTTTTGAACTGTTCTTATGTCATTCAAAGAAAATGTTTTTGTCAATACAATTCTGTTGAACGAAAGATAAAAATGCCAAGACTGCGGACTATTGCTTCTAGGCTCTGTCGTTCGTTGTTTTTGATGACAGGGATCCCTACAGCTTAGGTACTGTATCTGTAATTTGTAAGCGTGGCTTTGAGACAAAATTTGCAAACTGAGCTGTATACACAATGCAGCCCCAGAGTTTCCCATGTACCCACATGTGCGGGAAATATTTTTATTTATGTTGGTGTGCCTATGGGTACATGTGAGAAGGAATATTATTTTTGTGCTTTTCCTGTACTGTGGAGTGAACCTGACCACATGTGCATCCAGGGCTTGTGTCCTCTGTGGTGTGTAACCGCTGGCAGTGTGTAGTGAGTGTCAGCAGGAATGCAACTGAGGGCCCTCTGTGTGTGTGCGTGTGGGAGACCTCTCTAGGTATATGGTATTTATCTACTAGTCATATCAAGGCATATTGGCCTGCTGGGCATGTTTCCAATAAAATAAGATGAAAATAACTCTGTAGAATGAACCTCTTATAAAGCAAAATATTAATCTCCAATGGCTACTGATTATGGAGAAAAATATTTTTAATTCACAGCTACCACTTTCCCTGCAATGTGCAGCCCAGAAAAGATCCCTAACTCCAGGAGGGAGTTCTGAAAAATGGGTGGGGGGAGTCATAGTGAAAGGAAAACAAAGCTCCTATGACGCAGGCCCAGGAACCTGCCAATCTTTGGTGACCCTCTAAAAATAAGTAGAAAAACGGTTCTATGTCTCCCAAACAAACTCACCTTTGGACCCCCGGGATGTCCAACCCCCCTCGCTGGTCAGGGGTACTCTGGGCTCAACTTCTCTGGGTAATCCCCTTCAGCCACTGCGTTGCCCTGGAACAAAAGATCCTCGTCTAGACGCCGCCATAAAGCGACCCCCCCTCCCCAAGCCCGCGCCTCTAAACCCAGTTTCATTTCGCCCTTAACGACCCAGTCTGGCCTGTGTTAGAAAACGCTTCCGCCCTAAATAGTAAACAAACCGGCAGTGGACGGTCTTGGCACCCCCAACACTCCCCATACCCCCACTCCATTACACCCTTGCCCCGTGTTTTCCCCTTCTGCAGCCTTTCTCAGCTCCCAGTTCCCCAACCCCCTTTCCCTGCCACAACACCCCCCCACCCCGCCCCGCACACACAGAAGTAAATAAACCCGAGGCCGAGTTCAAAGTTTCCCCGAGCTAAGGAGGAATGTTGGTTGTAAAAATCCAAGTTTATAGCGCACGTGGGAGTTTACAAGGGTATTAAGTGGTGTGGGCTGAGAGAGAGCACTCTGAGCCCCTCCCCATCCCACGATGGGCTTTGTGGGTGCACGGGCAACCTGGGGGTCCTCGAAAAGAGAAATAGGTTGGGGCCAGACTTCAGTTTGGGGTTTCTTTGTCACTCAGACCCCTAGGTTGCTGAAAAATGACGCTGCAATCGTCCCTTGGAAAATGGCTCACATAAGCCCCACCAAGAGCCCCTGAGGAAAAGCCCATGGGTGCGAGGTGTCCCAGAGGGAGCGGATGGGGAGCTCTGCTTTGGGAGAGCAAGAAAGTTGCAGACCAGATGTCTGAAAGGTGAACAGACTTGAGGATACCTGGAGCTGGTTCTCAACCAGAGAGGGAGAAAAGATCTGCAGCTAATTTCTCGAGTGGGCTGAAGACAGAGAGACTGCTTTTCTCACCAGGGCAATGAAGAACTTTGAACTTCAAGGGAGTCAAGGGCACCACCCCTTCCCTCTCCCGCCTCTCTCAGGAATCTGTAGGGCAATTCGTTTCTGGGCCAATATTCCCTCAAGGGGGCAGTCCCCAGGGTTTTCTGGTGTCCCAGGGCTGGATAATGCTGTTTACTGACCCCTCCCTTCTCCGCAGCCCGCCAGAACCCTGTGCACGCGACTGCACTCTTTATTATTCATATAAACCTTTGGAAAAGGCAACGCCCGGGAAGTTTTTATAACTTTGTTTGGCATAAAAGTTTTACAAGATTTCTCCTGCCATTTTTTTTTTTAAACTTAAAGTTTTGGTCTTGCCATGAAATGAAATTTCAAGATTTGAGGGAGATTGGGGAGAGAGAGGCTCCGGGGTCCCGGTGTGGGGGTGGTGTTGTCTGGAGCTGCCTTGCTCTGCCTAAGACAAAACAAGTCTTAAATGTTGGGGTCAATACTTTCTGAGGCCCGTGTTGGACCCAGATTTGGGGGCTGCCAACTTTGGGGGCTGAGGGCCAGTGAAGGCTTCAGGCCTCCAGGAGAGTCCTGTCCACTCTGCTCTTGAGACATATCGTTAAAGACCCCCAAAGTTTAAACAATGTCAGCAAGAACAGTTCTCCCTCATCATGTCCTCTTGCTCTCCTGCGGGCATTATTCTCCCTCTCTCTCTCCCTCTCTCTCTCCCTCTCTCTCTCCCTCTCTCTCTTTCTCACACACGCACCATCCTATACACACCCTCAACCCACTGCATAAAGTGGAGACCCATAACCTTGATTCAGACTACAGATTTGGGATTTGGGATTTGGGAGGGTTGCTGTACACACAGCCCTGCATCATCCCTGCCTCCTGCAAAATCCACAATGGGTTTGGAGAAAGACAGAACTCAAAACGCCCAGAAATTCCTGCCCAGAAGTTGCAGTGGTTGCAGGACTGAAGGAGGAGGATAGCCAGCAGAGCTGCAGCCTGGGAGCTCAGAGAACAAAGGTGTCCATGTGGGACACGGCCAAGCCCACCAGTTACCCCTTGGATCTGCTCCCCACCTGGGACTGACAGAACCCCACTCTTTGATTTCCCCTGACTCCAGCCTTGGGGAAATGAATTGGGTTCAAATTAAGGTTATGATAATGTTGAGTTCTGGAAGTCAACACAAAGACGCAGCTAATTCTACGAAGACAGGCCTGGGGACAAGGCTCCTTTGGGGAGATGGAAATGAAGATACCTGAGCCCTGGAACCAGTGCTGCAGGGAGCCATCGGAGTCACTAAAGACCGTGTCCCAGCACCAGCTTCTCCTTCTCTAACAGAGACTGTTGAGGCCTGGCCCCCGGCTGCTGGCAGCCCTACACTT